CCAATCAAACGTCACTTGTTTGCCAAAAAAGAGAACTTTAATAATGAACAACAGAGGATTTAGTGGTCGTTATAGACATTTTGCAAGAGCAGAGAACGAGGGGCACAGATACCTCAGTGGGAAGAGCAAGACCATCTCCTGCTTAGATCAGACGCGCACTTTACTTGTCATTAGCTTCGTGTTGGAATAGGCCCAACCGGCCCAACGCCCAAACAGGGATTGTGCATAACGGGTCTAGGTTACCACCTATTATCACCTATTGGCCCAAGCTGAAGGAGCGTCAATGCAAGCATACCCACGTGACCAGCGTCACGTGGGCCAAGGGGGTGCTCACACATGTAGATGTATATCAGCACCAAGGGGCTATAAATACCCCCCAACTACTTTCGATGAAGGTAATTAATCTCTACGCTTCTCTTTCTGCAATTACTCTTTGAGAGCATCTCTCTCTAGAATATTGAGTATTACTGACTTGAGCGTTGGAGTGTTTTCCCCGAGGAAACAACCTTAGGATTTTCAAGTGTAGAAGCAGCTAAGGACTTTAACAGTGTTGGACTGCGAAGCTGCCCAAACATTGGCGCCGTCTGTGGGAAACACGAACAAGGAGTCGTGTGGCTTAACTTGCTAAAAGATAGTATGGTTCGTACCTTTACAGGAGGCCGCCCTCCAAGAAATGAAATGGACGAACAGGAGGACATTCATGTATCTGAACCCGACTTGAATGACTTTAGGCCAATGCCAAGAAATCTTTTTGTAGGAGGAGCCGAACGGGATCACCTAAGTGAGACAGATGATGAAAGAACACCAACTGGGTATGCAACCCAGCCTGAACAGTTCCAAGTTCCAACAGGAACAAGATAAAGATCTGCTAGACCGTACGATTCACGGCGTGAGCGACCTGAAAGGTCAACAGAACCTACTTGGACAACCGAACTCGAAGAGAGAACCAGAGTTCTCGAAATGGCAATGGGTAAAATCCTTGCCCGTTTAATTCCTGATGACCCCTTGATTCCTTTGCTGAATAGAGATGCACAACCGGCTGCGGTTGTTGCAACTCAAAACTTCCCCGCTCTCAGCAACATAGTAGTGCCGACCAGGCCAAGGGGAAGCCGGAAGCTGAATATCGAGCCCAGCTCGTCCAAACATAGTGAAGAACTGATGAGAAAGAACACAGACCTTGAAAGACAGCTGTGGGACGTGCAAAAGTCTATTGACGAGCTGAAAAGTCCCAGGTCGAATCAACAGACTCTGGATTTGGATAGCGCACCACTAAACTTATCAATTACGGCAGAGTCGTATCAAGAGGGATTCAAAATTCCCCACCTGGAGACATATGATGGCTCGGGTGACCCTGATGAACATCTGCACACCTATCAAGCCATCATGAAAATCCAAAACGCCAATGATGCCATGATGTGCAAAGTGTTCCCAGCAACACTCAAGTCAACAGCCAGGAGATGGTATCACAAACTCCCCAGACATTTAATAGATTCATTTTCCCAGCTCGCCAAGTTATTTTCTAATAAATTTGCGAGCCAAAGGGAGATCAAGCGCATAGCAACCGAGCTAATGCAAGTTAACTAGAAGGAAGGGGAGTCTTTGAGGGATTACATGCAGTGATTCAACAAAGCCACCTTGGACATTGATAATGTCCTAGACACGATCTGCCTATCCGCCCTGTTGCATGGGTTGAAGCGTGGCCGATTCCTATACAACCTGCTTGAAAACCCACCAAAGATGTGGAACGAGGTGAATGACAGGTCGGCCAGCTTCATACTGTCAGAGGACTTTCAGTCGTCCAAGCGACGAGCTGATGATAAGCCGAGCAAAGGCTAGGAACAACAACCGAGAAGAGAAGAGAAGAAGAAGCAGAAGGTTAGTGAGCAATGGGGGAAGCCAGCTGATTTCCCGAAATATGCCAATTACATTCCTTTGACCTTACCCAGGTCTCAAATCCTAGTACAAATCTAGCACTGGGTTAGGAGACCTCCACCCCCACTGCATGATTCCTCGAGGGCAGACAAGAGCAAGCATTGTGACTACCACCGTGTATATGGTCACAATACAGAGGATTGCCAACACTTGAAGGACGAGTTGGAGTTTTTGGCTCGTAACGGGAAGTTAGAAGGGTATGTTCAAAAGCCTCACACCCAGCAACCCACTCAAACCCATTTTGTACAAGCGTACGACCGACCGCAAGGGCAGAGGTACCAGCTCGGCGGGACGTAGGATGTATATCAGGATAACCAGTATCCTTCTGAGCAGGGCAGAGCATACCGAGGACGTCCGTTCAACAGGAGAGGACAGGGATCGAGAACTACCGCCCCGAATCAAAAAGACAGGAAAGGGGTAGGTTATGCTGGGATACCCCCACCCTCTGGTACCATAAACATGATATCAGGTGGTGTTCACTCCGGAGGTCAAAGCGCCCGAGGTCGCAAGGCGTATGCACGCCAGGTGATGACAATCAACAAAAACAGGCCTTTGAAACGCCCGTTTGAAGAAGCAGAATGGGAAAATGCGCCCATCACATTCAGCCCGGTAGACTATAAGCGAGCAGAAGGAAAGCCCGACGTTATGATGCCGCATGGAGATCCTTTTGTGGCAACGGTTCATATAGGCAACCATAATGTCAACAAAGTCTTTGTTGATACGGGTAGCTCGCTGGATATCCTGTATTGGAGTTGCTTTCAGAAAATGCAGCTGAATCCAAACTCACTGCAAAAACACGAAGGGCCTATATATGGGTTCGACAATCAGCCCGTCTCGGTTGAAGGAATCATTACCCTTCCCATCTATGTGGGCTCGGAGCCACGGTTTAGGATGGCTTCTGTTACCTTCCTGGTCGTCAAGATGGAGTCAGCTTTCAACACTATACTGGGAAGAGCTACTCTTTGCGAGCTGAAGGCTGTCATCTCACAACCTCATCTCTGCATGAAATTCCCAACTCCTCAGGGGGTAGGAGTGCTTAAAGGGAACCAGAAGATGGCAAGAACATGCTACCAAGATACCTTCAAGAAGGTTGAGCTCGCTGCTGCTCCTATAGGCTCTGAAAGTCACAAACCAACCCAGCTCGCTCAGCAGACAATGAGCATTTCAGACATTGAACACTGACCTAAAGGTGTCGAGCAGAAAGCAGAACCAGTGGAGTCGGTAGAAACGGTCCCTCTGAACCCTGATGTGCCAGAAAGAATGGTTAAGATCGGCACCAAACTCATAGAGGAGGAACGGGCAGAGCTTCTGGAGTTTTTGAGGGACAATCAAGACGTGTTTGCGTGGACTACGGATGAAATGCCGGGCATCCCCGCAGAGTTGACAGTCCACAAGCTAAGCACGGACCCCACCAAAAGGCCGGTGGTGCAAAAACGTCGCCTTTTTAGCCCCGAGAAACAAGCTGCCATTGACGAAGAGATATAAAAGCTGCTACAGGCAGGTTTCATCAGAAGAATGGAGTACTCTGAGTGGGTATCTAACCCCGTGCTCGTCAAAAAGCCGAATGGCAAGTGGAGGATGTGTATTGATTTCACTAACTTAAATGAGGCGTGTCCAAAAGACCCTCATCCCTTGCCAAATGTTGAGAAGCTAGTAGAGCGGGCAGCCGGACATGAGCGGATGAGTTTCCTGGATGTCAGCTCAGGTTATCACCAGGTTTAGTTGCTGTTGGACGATCAGGAGAAAACGGCTTTCTACGCTGGTGACGCGATTTACTACTATGTGATGATGCCGTTTGGTCTGAAGAATGCTGGTGCAACATACCAGAAACTTGTACAAATCATCTTTAAGCTCCAGATCAGCAAAAACATAGAAGTATATGTGGATGACATGATAGTCACTAATGTGCGAGCTGAAGACCATATAGGTGACCTGAGTGAGACCTTTCAAAACTTGCGCCGAGCACAAATGAAGCTGAATCCCTTGAAATGCACATTTGCTGTAGAGTCAGGAAAATTACTGGGATACGTGGTATCCAAGAAAGGAATTGAAGTAAATCCAGAAAAGGTTGAGGCTATTCAGCAGATGGAGCAGCCAAGGACTATCAAAGACGTGCAGCGTTTAACGGGCCGTGTTGCTGCGCTGCACAGGTTTATAGCCAGGTCGGCAGAAAGATGCCTTCCGTTCTTCAAGGCCCTAAGAGAGCCCAAGAACTTTCAATGGACCGATATGTGTCAGCGGGCCTTTTACGAGCTCAAACAATACCTGGCGTTAGCACCCCTACTGTCCAAGCCTGTGGAGGGGGAGAGTTTGTACCTGTATTTAGGGGTTACAACAGAGGCGATTAGCTCGGTCTTACTCAGGGAAGAGAATAAGAACCAAAACCCTATTTGTTATGTGAGCAAGGTCTTACAAGGCGCCGAGCAGAACTACCCACTAGCAGAAAAGGCTGCTTTTGCCTTAGTTTACACAGCTTGTAAGTTGAGAGCTTACTTCCAATCACATCATATTGTTGTCTATATCGATTTGCCATTGAGAAAAATACTGTAGAAACCTGAACTCTCTGGTCGGCTTATTGGGTGGAGTGTCGAGCTGAGTGAATATGACCTCACATTTCAGCCGCGCACAACCATAAAAGGCCAGGCCGTTGCAGACTTTCTGGTGGAGTGCATCTCGACGACTAAAGAAGAAAAAGCACCTGAACAACCAATCTGGGTTTTGTATGTTGATGGAGCCGCTAATGTTGAAGGAGCGGGTGCAGGGGCTGTGCTGGTGGGCTCAGATGGTTTTAAGTCTGAGCATGCACTGAGATTTAAGTTTCAGACGACTAACAACGCTGCAGAATATGAAGCCCTCATTTACGGATTGAAGTTGGCGTCCGAGCTGAAGGCACAAAGCATTCAGGTTTTTAGCGACTCTAAGCTCGTTGTAGGCCAGGTGAAAGGCAGCTATGAAACGAGGGATCCACAGCTTGCTCGTTATGCTTCCGTGGTAAACAGATTAAAGTCAAGATTTGCTTCTTTTCAGATTGACAAAATACCCAGGACAGACAACCAATGAGCTGACGAGCTATCCAAGTTAGCCTCCGCGCAAGAGACCAACCCTCATAGGTCAACAACAGTCGAGGTACTTGATGCTCCGAGCTATACTGATTTCACACTTGAGTGTCAACTACTCAGCACAGATCCCTGTTCACTGAGCTGGACCGCCCCGCTCATAAATTATCTGCAAAGTGGCGAGTTACCTGAAGATCAGTCTGCTACAAAATTGATTAAACGCAGGGCGGCACATTTCACTTTGATAGATAACCAGCTTTACAAATGGGCAGCCTCTATGCCCCTATTACACTGCCTTACTCCTTACGAAGCTGAATACGCTGTGAGGGAAGTTCACGAAGGAGTATGTGGCACACACATAGGTGGCAAAACTTTAGCTTGGAAACTCCTGAGGCATGGTTATTACTGGCCCACTATGGTCGAGGACGCACAGAACTATGTCAAAAAATGTCCGACCTGCCAGTTCAACGCTGATGACATACACATGCCAGGTATCTAAGCCTGTTCTAAAGATCATGTAAACTTCCTGTTTGTCTATAAACTTAGCATAAATATCTTCCTTGAAACAGGGGAAATGTTATCATCTCTCACGTCTCCTTGGCCCTTTGCTCAATGGGGTGTCGACCTGCTCGGCCCTTTCACCAAAGGCAAATGAGGTTGCACTTTTCTAGTCGTTGCAGTGGATTACTTCACTAAGTGGATAGAAGCTAAACCATTGTCCACGACAACAAAAAAGAAAATAGAAGAATTCTTGTTCAATTCAAAATTGTGCAGGTATTCTTTGGTGACTTAGGTCATAAATAAACTGTATGCAAACGTAGTTTGTAGCTCAGCTCGGTTATCTGTGTGCAGGTTCGGCATACCTAAGCGGATTATAGCCGACAATGGGCCACAGTTCCGAGCAGCAGCACTGAGATCGTTTTGTAACAACTATGGCATTGAGCTCGCCTTGACATCGGTGTATACTCCACAGTCTAACAGACAAGCCGAGTCCGCCAATAAAATCGTCTTGCGAAGCCTTAAGACACGTGTTTTAGCGGCACATTTGAATTGGGTCGACGAGCTCAATAAAGTGCCCTGCTCTTGTCGCACTACACCCAGCTCGGCCACAGGCGAAACTCCTTTCAGCCTGGCCTATGGAGCTGAGGCCGTCATCCCAGTAGAAGTTGGATTGCCATCTAATCGAGTAGGCCGGCATGACGATCTCAACAACGAGCAATTGTTGCGAGAAAACCTAGACTTCATGGAAGAGGTCAGGGAGATGTCTAGAATAAGAAACATGGCGCATCAAAGTCATGTTGCAAAATTTTATAATACGCTAGTTCGAGCTCGTCAATTTCAGGTTGGCGATCTGGTTCTACGCAAGGCTGGATTAACCAACACTTATTCATACATGGGCAAGCTCGCCCCTAATTGGGAGGGCCCATATATGGTTGTTCGAGTTAAGCGGCCTGGCTCTTACGTGTTAGCAGATGTACACAGGCGTCAGTTACCTTACCTTTAGAACGTACAGAATCTTAGAAAGTTTTACAGTTAACATATGTAATATTATTTTGTTTCAGGAGTTATCCAACAGTTATAAACAAAGATATACAGAAAATGCAACAAAAGTTCAAAGGAAAATTCATTTTTGTATTTCATCAACGATGTTACATTAGAAGTACATATGATATGAATCTATTGATCAAATACAAAAATGCCAAAACAAAAATACAAAAGAATGAAACAAAAACTCCTAAGACTAGTCATCCGTCAAATCGACGGGCATGGACGCATCAACTGCGAGCGGAGGGAGCGAGCTAGAGGCGAGCGAGCAGCGGGCTCGGGAGCTGGCGCATTGACAAGAGAGCTCGCCGGCACTATGGCGGGCTGAGAGGTGGGCGGGGTGCTTGAAGGCTCCTGCTCAGCTACAGGAACACCCTCTACCCATCCATCAAAGGAAGGCAGCCCTGCTGGATCCTCCCCCTCCTCTAGAACCGAGGGTGGCCAGACAGGTACACCCTCCTCGTTGAGATTCCACCTCAACCGCACCATTGTGTCAGCCAGGGGAGCAAGGCTCTTACCCTGCTCGTCAATGTCCTCCCCGTCAAAAAATGCCAGCTTGCAAATGGGAAAATCTGGGCGATGGTGTAGCACCTTCCCACGGATCTCGTTATAGATCTCCGTGGTTACATTCGCAGACGCCACCGCCACTGCATCTTGAAAAACGGCTGAGCCCACCAGCTATTCAGCCCCTTCCGTGCGGGCAATGCCTACGGAGCGCCCGTGTGATGCCTTCAATGTGTTCAGGGCCTCCTCAGCTTCGTTGAGGTTCTAGGCAGCTTCAATCACTTGTCGCCTCAGGGAGCTCAGCTCGTTCAGAGCACGGTCCCTTTCAGCCTCAATTCTTTTAGCCCGCTCCTCAGCGAAGGCGGCCTCATCTCTGGCCGCCTGAATCCCGCTTTCCTTTTCAGCCCGGGCTCGATTCAGCTCCTCCCTGAGCTCGTTATTCCTATTAGCAAGCTCATCTGCTCGGCTCTCCGCGGCAGCAGCTCGATTGGCCATCTCCGAACCTTGTAGATGATTAACGTCCTCCACAAGGCTGGCCTTCTCAGCAGCTAGCTGTTTACAATTTGCACTGAGTTCATTATTTTGAGAGTGAGCCCCTTGCTCGCTCTCAAACAATGCTACTGCGTAGCTGAACGCCTGCCAAACAACGGTTACTGTTAGTCTCTAAAAAGGAAAAGCAAAACATTCAAGCAGGTACGAGCAGATACTTACATCCATCAGTTTTATCATGGCGACCTGGCCGCCATACTGCTGCACAAATGCTTTTGCCCGCTTACTATCTGCGGGGGGCACAAAGCTGTGCATGTCTTGCACCATGGCGGGCTGGCACTCCGCCCTCACATAGCTGAAGCCCTCAGGATAAGCGATCCTGGGGCCTGACACTAAGTCCGACGCAGATGCAGGCTCTGCTGCTGCCCGCGCAGTCGCTGACGGCGCGGTAGGTGAACGCACAGTTGCAAGAGCGACCACCTGCGCGGGTTGGGTCCCCCCGCTTGTTCTGTGTCGAGCAAGGGGGACCTCATCTTCTTCGCTCTCTGTCTCCTCACGTGCACGCCTACGTGAACTGGGAGCTGCCACCTCGACCCTATGCTCAGCCTGCGGACTAGATGCCTAGTTGGATCCTCGATGGGACGAGCTGCGTGAGTGAGGCACCGCAGGCGGCCGCTCGTCGAATCACGTTTGCCTCTGCGAGGTGCCGCTTGGCTAGAATCCATGCTATATGATAAAAATATACCTTTGCTAAACAGGTTTGTCACATCGACAAACCCGAACGCGGCAAGTTGCTCCGAGGTAACTAGGGCTTCTAAATCTATTAGACTCTCCCTCTTCGCATACTCAAGCAGCTGGTTCTTCAGATCGATATCCCGTGGCAGCAGCTGAGGGTAGTTGATATGGGCATGTGGCGTGCGCCATTCTGATAGCCAGGCAGCAAGGTCGTTGCTTATCCTTTCTGCTCGTGTGTCGCGAACGAAAATAAACTGTTTTTTCCACCTCGCCACCTTATTCCTCACATTTTTGAAGAGCTGGCTCTTCTCCCTCTCAGAGAGATAGTACCACTTGGAACCCCTGGAGTTCGGGCACATTGGACACTGGAACAACGACCTGAATACTATCGCTTTAGCTGGTACCCCCAATTTCGTGCACAACAACATAAAGCCTATGATGAACCTTATGCTGTTGGGCGTTAGCTGCGTCAACGCCAGCTCGTAATCTGCGAGCAGATCGAATACCAATCCGGGTAGGGGAAACCGCAGGCCGGCGTCAAAGTGGTCCGCGTACATTGGAATCCAGCCCGTTTGCGACACTGTGCACACCCTTTCGTTCTGCCCGCCTGTCCGCAGCAATATGGTTTTGGGGATGTGGTACGCCCTCACCATCTCCTTGAGTCTTTTATACCCACTTATGGAGGGCGCACAATCTGCTACTTCATGATGAAGTGCAGCCTTGAACTTGAATCCAGCGAGCAGGTCCTTCGGTGCTTTTCGTAGGTTACTCAACCTGCCCGGGATTGTCACGCCTTCCCATTCCCCAACCACCAGCCGATCTGAGACACTGCTCACCACATCCCCCATCCCTTCTTCACAGCTGGGTGTCTCTTCAGTGGACGACCTACTAGACGACACAGTAGGATGGTTGCCACCGTCACCCCTAGCGCTCGAACTGGCGCTTCCCTTAAGCGCCATTGTTTCCGGCAAGTCCTGCAACTCAGGCGGCACTATCATCGTGATAGGCTCCACTGATAAAACCCCTTCCTCTTCTCCGTCTCTGCCCTGGTTACCTCGTAGCTCTGTAAATCCTCTAACGGAATCCATTTTACCTGAAAGTAGTGGTCTGGTGTATGGTCTGATGCTTGTTTCCTCACGCTGGAATGTTCTGTTGCAGAGAGTTCCAACAGGTTTAAACAAACAGTGAAATGAAAATGGAAAGGGGAACGGTTACGTAAAGAGCAAAACCGAAATTGCAGTGTTAATGGCCGTACGCGTGTCTCTGACGTGCCAGTTAGCTTCTCACGCGTGGCAAATGCTTAAGCCCCTTTCGTATAGCGTGCGCCGGTTTTAGCTGTCGTGTCCCCTTAAATGCCGAGCCAGCATTTATGATGGGGAAGACAGAGAGATACGAGGAGATCAACCGTATCTCCTCAGAGATTTGGTGGATTTTCAAAATCCACAAGATTCAGATCATAACGGCTGACATGTACCCTATCCCGCCACATCAGCTCACCGTTGCGAGCACACTGAGATTCAGCTCGTAACAAATCGTGGCGACAACCACTTTTGTCAGGCCGTTACACGGGTTGCAACTCACGACGGGTCACACACCTTTTCACAGACCAATGGATACCTGAGGTCGCCCTATCTAACAGCACTACCCATGTGAGCTGATAAAGTAATAATAAAAAATCTCAGGTCGCACTACGGGTGAGGCTTCAGCTCGCGATCATGGCCGATTGAGCATCCTCTGGTCGCATTCCGGTAGTACTCAGGGGTCAGGTCGCCACACGCCCTCCGACGCTCATGTTAACGTGGACGAGCTCGCTGAAATGGTGTTATGTATACGACTGCTCCCTGGGCGAGCTCATCTGTTGTGAACCATTTCAGCCTGCTGCCATCACAAGCCCACACTAGTGCGGCTAGGGATATTTGCTCGCCTCCACGCTTTCAGCCTCGCGAGCTCGCATCCTTTCCTATCACCTTTCAACTCGGCCATCGCCGAGGTCGGCCGTAAGCTGTTAAAGCTGTCCGTTATAGTCACCAGCTAGAGCGTTGACCCACGGCCACATCCATCCCAGTTCGTCAACCGAACACCGGGGGGGAAGTAATGTTGGAATAGGCCCAACCGGCCCAACGCCCAAACAGGGGCCGTGCATAACGGGCCTAGGTTACCACCCATTACCACCCATTGGCCCAAGCTAAAGGAGCGTCAATGCAAGCATACCCACGTGACCAGCGCCACATGGGCCAAGGGGGTGCTCACACGTGCAGATGTATGTCAGCACCAAGGGGCTATAAATACCCCCCAACTACCTCCGATAAAGGTAATTAATCTCTACGCTTCTCTTTCTGCAATTACTTTTTAAGAGCATCTCTCTCTAGAATATTGAGTATTGCTGACTTGAGCGTTGAAGTGTTTTCCTCGAGGAAACAACCTCAAAATTTTCAAGTGTAGAAACAGTTAAGGACTTCAACAGTGTTGGACTGCGAAGCTGCCCAAACACTTCGAAAAAGCTCGAATACTTTTAACTGATCGCACGATTCTCCCTGCTTTTCGTAGTCTTCTTGGCTTTCTTCTTCACTCCTAAAAGATGGTAGACGGTTACCTTTAGTTGAATCAAATTTTTCATGCGCTATGCGCTATGATGGGTTTATTATTATTATTATTATTATTCATTCTTCTAAAAATTGATTTTCTCTCTTAGCAGGCCAGGAGTTATTGGTCGGAACACGCTAACCATTAAATAAAAAGCAATTAAAAAAAAATTATGGAACGGGGCAATGTTTGTAGTACTGATGATCGTTTTGGGCGTCCAATAAAAGGAAAAAAAAAAAAGAACACTACTCAAGCCAGCAAGAAAAT